GTTGAATCGCACTGCATGAAATCATGACAAACTTCCTGTTGCAGTCATTCTTCTACAGGAGTCCAGACTATGTTATGTCCGTATTAAAATAAGAGACTGCCGCCTACTGTACTACACTTTACAGCTCAGCGTGACGTATTTAGCATTTTTGACGAGATTGTAAGCGTTTGTGCGAAACAAACACAGGAAAAGGCAGCACTGCAGTGGTGAACCTTATTTAACTACCAGACAGACGGTTCTGCTGCCACGTCTCGTTGTGAAACCTTCCGAGCTTTTTTGAGGCACGGCAGAAGAAGCTCACCTGTAAGACTTCACATGCTCTGTGGGCTTCCACATGAGTTTGTAATGACTGAGCTGCTGCAAGTTTCATAGACTTCGAGATGAATAAAGCACCAGTGTGTTGATGCAACTGTATGAAAAGGGTCTTACCTGTGTGGAGAACGGAGACTGGAGGAAAGCCATCCCATTCTTGGGGACCTCTATCCGGTACCCCGGCGGTAGGAAGGCATTGAAGCCCAAGACTAGGTCTGGGTGTCCGTGGAACAGCTGTGAGACACGATTTATCACCCCCGGTGTGTCGATGCTGTTCAAGAGGGCAGACAAAAAACATTTCAGTGGTGTAGCTGGCAGAGGCAAAGTGAGATTAGCTTCCACTGCAAAAAAAAAAACGCTTAATCAGAAACATACATTTGATTTAAAAAGGAGCACAGCTGAACTACTAATTAAAAATTCTGTCATCGCACACTTAGATGCCAACATAATTACACCTGTCGCATAATTAAAGTAGCTATCGGCACTTTTGTGTTCATTGATAAGTTGTAAAATGTGTGGTTTATCCTTGGCTGGTGACAAACTCCAACCATCACCACGTTAGGAGTCTCTTCATCTCATTCAGTACGTTTCAGTAAAACTCAGTGACCTCTGATTGTTTGAATAAATCTCCACGGATACCTCTGCGACTTGAACTCTTTCATGATGTCGAGAAACTTGTTGTATATGCCGGGGTCGTTCGCAAAACGAATTTTGACTTGGTCCAGATATGACAAGGCATCTTCAACCTAAAGCAAGAGGAGGAGGGGAAGAAGAAGAAAAACACAAAATCATCAGTAGAGCACAAAGCACAACCAGATAATAATGTTCTCCATGTCATCTTGTTGTGCTGCTGATGAAGTCGGACGCTACAGAAGTGTTGATTGTCCCGGTAATCACAATCAGTAAAAGGGGGCTTCTGTTTGTAGGTTCTTGAAGAAGCTTCTTGGATGAAACACCTCCAAGAACCAAAACGAATAAACAGGGGTGTGGATTCTCTAGGCACCCAAGTCAGGTCTTTATACAAGTAAGACGTAACTGGACTCTTGTTTTTAGGTTCTTGAAGATGTTTTGGTTTGAACTAAAGAAGCTTCTTGGACAAAACATCTTCCAGGAACCAAAACAAGGCGTCCGGCTGCTATTAAGAGACGTAGATTCGCCATCATCCAGCTAACGGTTATCATAAGAGCTTCAATAAAAAGCAAACAGACTTCTGTTTTAAGGTTCTTGAAGATGTTTCAGTCTGAACAGAAGACGAAACATCTTCCAAGAACCAAAACGAAGAGTCCTACTGCTCTCTACGGAGACGTACGCTCTCCGTCGTCCATTTCATGTTAATCGCAAGAGCTTCATTAAAAAGCAGATTCACCTTTGTTTTCAGTCTGAAGCTTCTTGGACGAAACATCTCACAAGAACCCAAACAAGGAGTCTGGCTGCTTTTAGGAGGTGTAGCTCTGCCATCATCCAGGTTATCATAAGAGCTCTGATAAACAGCACATTGACTCCTGTTTTTGGGTTCTTGAAGATGTTTCAGTCTGAATAGAAGCAGCTTCTTGGAAAGAGGAGTCCGGCTGTGTTGTATTTAAGCTCTGGGGACGTTACAGAGCTGGTAAACATGTTTACCAGGACAATAGCATGTCTCCACACCAATGCTGCACTGTCTTATTACCTCTGCACAAACCTAAATATGTGGATTTTATTCCCCCTCCTGGTGCTATGTGTATTATATATATTTCTTTGCATAGGTGGCTGGATGTATGGATTCTGTTTGCTTCCCTTCGTTGCCAGCTAAAGTGCTAAATCAACAAATCCACTAGTTAGCAGTACAAGCTGTACAAGTAACCGCTTAATAAATAAATAACTGGTCCAGATAAAACCGTGGAAACACCAGGGCAGCTTTTGTTCATCGGTGCACAAGCTTTTTTTTTCCCCTCACCGATCATACGACTGATTTTTGTGTGTCTAAAGGGGGTTCTGCGATGAGAACAAATGTGTCCAAACACAAAGCGTTGTGACAAATCTGAAGAGGGTTGTTGTAGCTAACGTTAGCCAAAGAGCCAGTCAACTGACGATAATAACTCCACCAACACTTACAACACCTACCCGCATACAAATTCATACAATAGTCACAGCTGGTGCCTGACCAACAGTGTCGTGTTGGCAAATTGTAATTGTAAAAGAAAGAAAAGAAGAAGAAGAGAGAAAAAAAAAGCCGCAAGGAAGACGTATTAAAAACAGTGCGATAACAAAGAAATGTGTAATGAAGCTGCTAATCAACTGAAATAGCCGTTCTTGGCTAGCCTGGCTGACGTCCTCCACTTTGTTCAGGGTGGCTGAGAAAAAAAAACGAACAAGGAGGAACTTCCCACAACCGAGTTAACGTTTTTTCTTTTTTTTTGCTGGCTGTTTATTGATACGGTTAAAATAGGAAAGTATCGCCAACTGTGCCACCACACGGACCCACTCACACGTTCGCTAAGCAAACGCAGCTCCCACATCTAACCTTAAATGTCAGCGTTGGGCTGTTTGGCGATGAATTACTTTTAATAGGCCAGCGAGCTAACCGAGGCTAGCCACGGCAGCCGTTCCTTTCACTACTCTCGACGGCGGCAGGGCAGCGAGAGAGAGAGAGAGAGAGAGAGAAAAGCCTCAAAAAAATCCGACATGGAACAAAATGGTTCTGACTCTGAGGGGACTTTTTTTTTTTTCTTTCCGCCTCTCGTCGTGTCTGCTTACCTTCAGCTTCTGGAAGTGCTGCTGCTGCACTTGCTTTTGTGTTATAACGTAAGGCTTGTCTTGGATTTGGTTTATTTGCTTCGCGGTGCTGTGCGCCTGAATCTTCGCCATTATCCCCGGCGACGGGAGGCTTTGGAGGAGCCGCTACCACAACTTGAGAGGGAAGCTTCTGGGTTTGTTACCTCCAGTTGTTGGCTAGCCGACAAACCTTGCTCTCGGTCGGGAAGCCAGCCTGCCTGCCTGCCTTGCCAGCAAGCGAGCGAGCGAGCGACCCTACTTCGGCTGGCTGGACAGTGTCGGCGCGGCGGACGGGAGCCCCGGCGGAGCGGAGGGTCGCTGACGGACGAGCCGCTACTCGCTGCGACTTTGATTAAAACATCGCGATGGAAATGGACGAGCCGAGGCAGGAAAAAAAAAATCAGCCCAGGGACAATGGTTGCCGTTTATTTAAAATAACTATCGCCTGTCTCTTTAAATTCGGCGGCAGCGGTCTGTCTTGGCGTCCGGAAGCCAGAGTAGGAGTGAAAAATTGAAAAAAGAAAAAAAAAAAAAAAAAAAAGTGAAAAATTGAAGTGCGCAGCCGCAGAGATGGGAGGAGCTGAGTTCACAAGAATCAGATTGCTCCACTCCCCCTTCACTGCTACAAAGAACAATGTTGGTCCATGCAAAGCGACAGCGACATACTTCACTGTGTACCGGGAGCTGCGCTTTACATGCAACTGGACTTTACGTTCAAGAATATAAAACAGGAAAAATAAAAGCAGCTAGACTCCTCTGCAGGGAGAAACTGAGGAGGTTTTTAATGGAGCTTCCTGGATCGACATGACCTGGATGACTGGGAATCTACACACTTAGTCACTTTGTATTTACAGCTACACAAACATACTCACAACTACAGGACTAGCAGCATGAGGAGCAATGATAAAAATAAAAAACAATGCTGGTCCATGCAGGAGCTTCACATAAACACTTTACATTAAAGAACCTTAAACAGGAAATAAAGCAGCTAGACTCCACTTTAAGGAGACACTGAGGGGCTTTTTATGAAGCTTCCAGGTCCGACATGACCCAGATGACTGAGAATCTACACTTATACACTCTGTACTTGCAGCTACAACGCTATGTTAAATATTTGCATTTAATAGTGACTCTCACATGAGCAATAATGAGAAGGAAACAGTGTTAGTCCATGCAAAAGCACAGCTACATACTTTATTATGAACCCAGGAGCTTCATTTTTTTGTGTTCAAGAACCTAAAACTATTCTCTTTATGGTGCATTTTACTGAAGCTCCTAGAACCACGATGATCTGGATGACCGACAGTCTACACCGACGTATTCATAAGTACAAGACTAGCAGCATGAGGAGTAATAAAGAGAATAAAAAAACACTGGAACAATGTTGGTCCATGCAAAGCCACAGCTACACACTTCACTGTGTACCTTCACTTAAATGCAACTGGACTTTAGATTCAAGAATCTAAAAAATAGCAGCTAGACTCGTCTATAAGGAGAACCTGAGGGGCTTTTAATGAAGCTTCCAGGTTTTACATGACCTGGATGACTGTGAATCTACACTTATACACTCTGTACGTGCAGCTACAAGGCTATGTTAAATATTTGCATTTAAAATGATTTAATAGTGACTCTCACACGAGGAGCAATGATGAGAATGTAAAACACTGGAACAATGTTTGTCCATGCAAAGCGACAGCTGCAGACATTACTGTGTACCCAGGAGCTTCACTTAAACGCAACTTGACTGAAGGTTTAAGAACCTGAAACAGGAAAAAACAAGTGGACTTCTCTATAAGGGGAAATTATCACGACATGTTCACACTTTGCCCACATCTGCAAGATAAGCGAAGACTGTGGCATGCAGCTGTAAAACCATGCATGGTCTCAGTTAAAACGCTTTATTATACTCTTTTTTTTTAAGGAAAGCTGGAGCAATATTTGCATTTAAAATGATTTAATTGTGAATTTCACACAAGGAGCAGTGATGAGAATAGAAAACACAATGTTGGTCCATGCAAAGCAACAGCTACATACTTCATTATGTACCAAAGTTAAATGCAACTGCACTGTTGGTTCAAGAACCTAAACCAGGAACAAAACAAAGCAGCTGGACTTGTGGTTTATGGACTGAAGGCTGACTGATCAATGCTGAGCTACTAGTAGACAATCCAGTTCAAAAACAGTAGCTTCATACTTTGAACTGTACTCGGGAGCTCCAGAAAAATGTAACTGACTTCACCATATTGGTAAAACATTTCAAGGAAACAGGAACAAATATTGGCACTTATAATGGTTTATTAGTGACTTTCACATGAGGAGCAATGGTGGTAATCCTGTGCTTCTTGAACTTAAACAGAAAAAACAACTAGACTTCTCTTTTAGGTGAACTGGAAAGAGAAGTTTAGCAGCTTTTTACTGAAGCTCCTTGAATTACCATCTGCATTAAAAATGTTTTATTAGTGGCTTTTACATGAGAAGCAAGAATGACAATGAAAAACATCTGAAAAAACAAACTGCATATTATAGTTATTAGCATTTCCTAGCTACTACAGTGTGCTCATTGTTGACACTGAAAGGTGCTGAAAAAGATCTCTGCTGGATTCCTTAAACTACGAGGCTTTGGCAGCGAGTTTCCACCTCTGTAGCCACTGCTGAAAAGTCAGACCTCCTTTCTGGACCTCAGGCAGGACGTGCTGGGCTGGTTTATCCCACCTGCATGCACGAAAAAACACAGAACAGAAAAAGGTTAATGAGAAAACCAGACACGTAACTCCAGAGTGAGGGCAAAAAATAAAAACACGTTCAAGTTTAGAAAAAAAATCAATGCAATTAAGAGTTTACAACTGATGAATGATAATAATTTGTCTTATTCCGTCACTGGTGGTAACATTTAACCCAGTAAGGCTCAGTAAAATCTGATTCTGAAGTCCAGTCCAAACTTATCGATCACATCACAGATCTGGTAAAAATGGAAAATCATTTTGACTTCATCGTGGACACGACAGAGAAACAATCAGAGGCAGATCAGCAAAGTTTTCCAACCCACTTATCTGGAAAGCAAAACCAAACTTCTGCTTTCTATTGCACACAATCAGTGCAAGTGCTGTGAAAAGCTTGAAGCGGTGAGAAGTTCTTAGAAACCCAATGAGCTCTTTGCGTGGCAGCTTGTGAGGTTCGCTTTCACATGCAAACGTGGTTTAGTTAACACGGTTAGAAGGCTCGAGCGCTTCCCTCGCTGCAAAAACTGTGTCATAGAAGATGTTGTCTCAGCACCAGAGCAGGGAGGTCAAATCACTGATAGGATGAAGATAAAGGGAACTACATTATTGTTTTTGTGGCATTTTTGTCTCTATTCGATAGTGCAGGCGAGAGAGAGAGGAGAAGCGGAGAAGAACCTGCAGACAAGGGCCATGAGCGGGATTCAAACTCATGACCTCCACGTCGGGGATTGTAGATGGGATGCCAGCTCAACCAGGTGAGCTATAGTGGCGCCCTGGGAGCTACATTGTTAAACACTAAGTGTGGTGTGATTGTTTCTAGACGGGTTACTCACCAGTAGGAGATGGCAGTTTTGACTTGGTCCCCATAAGAGAGGCCTTGTGCACAGCGCTGCGTGAGGCATCGGACTCGTGGCACCAACGCCTTTAGCAGCTTCTGATCCTCCTCCCTGACTCGGGTCAGCAGAGCTAAGAGACAGACAGTAGTTTGGTTTTTACTCAAACTTATCTCAGTCCTCGTTTGTCCAGATAACATGAATTCTTCTTTACATACAGCATGCGAACAAACAGCCAAATACTTCACTTCTGGGCTTTAACAAAAGCTTCTCGGCTGTGGAGTTCCTCTGATTACCTTTTTGATCAGACGCATGCAGCTGCTCTGCTTCCTTCTTTGTTTTCTGCAGAGCAGCAGAGTGAAGCTGCAGCAGCTGATGGAGGAAACGCAACTCGAGCTGCTGGGAGCGCGACCGGGAACACAACTCCTCTGGAGCCTGGCGTGGAAGAGCGAGGGGGAAAGGTTCGTTTGCATCAAGCTCGTCTAAAGTCACATTCATGCACATAGAAGAAAAAAATTTGCCTAATAGCTACAGATATCATCATCAAAAAAAAAAAAAAAAAGGAAGTTCATGGCAGCACAGTAAACACAAGCCTGCCCGTGTTGTGCCTCTGCATTAAAAGTGAGATTCACAGATATTATTTTTATCATCTCTACTCATGAGAGGACTGAGGTCAAGCGCTGATGGAGACAGTCAGCGGATTCATTAAAACCACTCTGGGCACAGTTAAAGAGCAGCTGCTAACGCCACTTTAATGGAAAACACTTCAATAAAAATAGAGCGAGCATCCACGGGCAAACACTACGCGAAACTGTGCAGTGATATTTCATTAAGCGTCACAACGCCGAGATGATCAAAACAGAAGGAGCTCCGAAAAGTGATTGTGGAGGACTGATGGACACACCTGGCTCGTCTACCTCACCTGCAGTTTTGCACAATTAATGGACCCAATATATAGAAATACGTGGATATATCTAGTTTTTCTAATTTCCTTGTTTTTATATATGTTTATGTCAGTCTGTTATGTGTATAAACGGAAAGAAGTCAAGTGCAATTTCATGCCTGCTAACTATTCATAAGAGCACCTCAACGGAACTTGCAGATGAAACCATAAACTATCGATTTTACTCGTGTTTTTATGATTTCTGTTCGTTTTTCAAGCCTACACTTTGATCATGAACTCTGATGAAACATTTGATTTGAAACACGTGAGTGTTTAAATTTTAAAAAACTAAAAATCACATTCAAATGAACTGAACGGCTGATTTGCAAAACAGATCTGCCTGTTTCTTGTCTTGTTATCTACACTCACAGGTCCAATTTTTCATACTTCGACAGATACGGTACGCACGATAAAGCATCGACTATATTCACATCTATCGATTCACGAGGCTCACCGGCTCCATCCTCTTGCCTCTGAGTTTTTTCTTTCTGAAACATAAAGAGCCTGTTGAATTTCTACACTTCAGACTTCCAAGTGAGGCCATCGTCAGGCCGTTTTGATTTCACAGCACAACTCAAACTGATCAGTCCAATCTGGAAAACCACTTTTTATGAACTGCAGCCAGGCCCATCACTGGTCTTAAAATGGCCATAACCAGCCTTAAGAAGCTCTTAACGGGAAACGCATGCGCTCGCTCTTGAGTGCTTTTTTGGAAAACGCGTAGAAACTCAAGACAGTTTGTTGACGCACTCTGAGCAAAACACTCGTCACTTCTGAGATTGATCATTGTTGTGAAGCGAGGCCCGGTTATTTCAACCGATTTCAAAAAGACACGCTCCGACGTTCACACCGCGTTGTTGGAAATCACAGCTAACGGATCCACAAGCTGCTTGGCAGAAGGGCGAACATACCAACACACTTGGTTTCATGGGAGACCACACAAAAAAAAATAAACTGAGTGTATGTGTTGTGTTAAAGCACACAGTTGGAGCACTTCTACTGCGAGCGCTACTCGTAGTGGCGCTCCTCTTGTGTGTTGTTAGATTAATGATATTCACTCTTGAAATCTATTTTTAGGTGGTCGACCACTTTGACGGTACAAACGTATGGCCTTTGGTGAAGTTTTGAAACTATTAGAATATTTGTAATGTGTATTACTGCTCTTCTGTTTTATTACATTTATGTTTTTTTGCCATCCTAAAGGAATGCTAGTTTTCTTACATTATCTACTGACTAGAAGGATTTTAGCAAACAGTTATCAGACACAGACGGGATTAAACAGATCAAACTGAGAAGAAATTGCTTCTGAGTTGAATAATCAACCACAATTATGAATCAAACCAACTTAACCCAAGAATTAATATGAGAAATAGAGGATTGATCGCTTCTGTTGCAGAGGATTGAACAACATTTCATGCTAATTTATGCTAACCTTGTAGAGGGGGAACGTCAGGCTCTGACACAAGCCCTTAAAGGTCGGGGACTGCAGGCGATGGATGGACAACCATGACGCGGGGATTCTTTGAGTTCTGAAACGACAGAAGAATCAGAAAGAAAACAAAATCACTTTTCTATTTTCGCTCAGCAGTTGTCACCACTTGATAAAGACGATGATTAAGTGTGTCTTTTCTTGTGATGCGAGTCAAACGGGCCACTGCAGCTGGAGCCACAGATGCTCCGCTGATGAAGCGGGAGGATTTTCTGACAGATATTATTGTTGTGCTGCTGCGCTGATCTCCCTCCCTCTGTGAATCTGTAATTCTTCATTAAGTGCAACAAAATGCAACGCAACACAGCGGGACGGGGAGGGAAAAAAAAAAGTTAGCCGCGAGTTACAATTTTACACCATTTTACAGGCAGTAAAATGTGACAAAAGCTTAGCTGTGTTGATTTAAGACTCTTAACTAATTCGAGTGTTAAAAAAAACTTCAGTGGTTATCTACAGGCTGGAATCGAGTCCCTTCAGGTATCAATAAACATGTTTTCACCCATCAATAGTCCTGCGGTCCAGCGAAAGCAGCGAAACTGTTCCCAGCTGTCTGGCCTCCTTAGAAATAGAGTTCCTCAGACTGTTGGCTGCAGCGATGACGTCTCCAAACTGTGGCACAAGCTCGCTCTGGATGAATTCCTGCAACTGAAACAAAACAGAGGGACAGAAATCCTCAAAAATTTGGCTTTCTGTGGGGAAAGTGTTTTAGCATAAAAAGAGCAAAACATTTCTTTGACTGCAGATTAAAGGAAGTCATACGAGTAATTTCTCTTCGCTTCAGTGTCATAAACGCAGACCTCTCTGTGAAGGCGAATCAGCTGCGTCTTGGCTGTTGAGTTCCCCTTAATCAGACCTCGAATGTCCTCCTGCCTGAGAACCTGCAGACACAAAAGCAGAACATGTTTAATGACGTGTGTTGTTACTCACAGCTTTGTCCCTCACGTTCAGGCAAGTTGCTGAATCAAGATACTTATCTACGTTCAAATACCGAGCACAATCAAATCCTCATGACCTACATGTAATCACACAGATGTACAACATTTAACACATGCAGGAAAGATTTTATTCATGAGAAAGACAAAGGTGTCTTGTGTTGTCCATTCACTCTCACCACTAGTTGTCTGAAGTCCAGAATGCTTTGCCACTGGCTGCGGAGGTTTCTCAGCGCCTCCTGTCGACTTCTGGCATCCTGGTCCAGCTGGATGCAGCGGTCTCTGATGTGATCCCTGGCTGCTGCCTGCATCACACACTGCAGTTCCACCTCCAGAGCTGACCTAACAGCAACCCACAGTCCCAGAAGTTTAACCAAAACAAAAGGCTAATTCAATAAAAGACAGGGTAAATGCTTTTACGTTCTGTTTTTTATTTTTTGCCTGAATCAAAACTGATTGTTCTAGCTGATTGCAAAGTGCATCTAAAAGTGAGTAAAGACAGAGTACTTTATTTAACCCCTGAGGGAAATTGCTGTGTTGCAGCAGCAGCAGTTTACACGTCACAAGACACACACATAACTTACATGAAGCTGACACGAGGTAGAACAGAAAAGCACTACTTGAATGCATATATATATACACGTGCCTAAAAACTGCAGTACGAGATAAAAGTATTTTTAAAAAGATTGATAATAAAGTTGAATGTGCAAAGTCACTCAGAAAAATAAAGTTCCTCCCACAGTGGACTTACAGCGCCACGGAATCGTTGTGGAGCTCGTCTCCGATACCAGACACCTCCTGCTCGGCCTCCTTCTTCCGGGCCTGCAGCTGGGTTTTCAGCTGCTGGACTCTGGAGCGGGTCTGGGCCAACTCCACCAAACTCTGCTCCACCTCTTCCCAAGCAGCCTGCAGCAACAAACACACGCAATTCCACAAATAAAAACGCATCGCCAGGAAACACACGAGCGTGTTTTGTTCTGCTGTGTGAACTTCCTGAATATTATTTTACGCCGAGTGCGAGCGCAGCACCTCTAAGAGGGCTTTAACCGGCGGCAGCTCGTGATCCTCCTCTGCTGACACGTCCAGGAGGTGATTGCTTTCATAGCGGAACCTGCAAGGAGCAACGCCGTATGTAAACAATCTAACGTGATATGAAAAGAGAACATCATAACCACAGGGAGGTTGTCTTACCGCAGAGCCGTCACATCCCGCGTCACATCCAGAGAAGCTACTTTCTCCTCTAATTCCTTCTGCTCTCTCGAAGCCAAATATTGCAGCGCAGAGAGGACGTGGTTCGGAGGGTAACTATCCAACACGTTCTGATAACACGACAGGCAGCGGCGTGTTAATTCAAAGTAAACGCTACAGACTCAGAATATTTAGTAAAAACTTGAAAAGTACACAAACCTCCACGGCGCTCAGCCAGTACTGGAACACAGCGGTCCTCTGTTCACGGGACATACTGAGAGGGAAGAAACAAATCAGTAGATAACTCAGCGAAAATAAAACATCGTCAATCTGACAGCGTACACAGTGTTTTATTTACCGTTTTGCTGCAGAGTGCTGTGTTTTCAGTTCGCCCTCTTGTAAAGACTGATAGAAGTGGACCCTGTCGTCACACAGCGCCCTCACTTCGCGCTGACAGGAGGAAAAAACATGACTTATACTGCAGGTACCTTCATCTCAATGTGAGTTCAGATTAGTGGGAATATAGCTGATCAATTCTCTGTGGTTTTACAAAATTTTAACAGAATTTCACCACATTAGCAAAAGAAAAAAAACTGTCTTCTCCAGCTATAGTATCATAAAATTAATCTGAAGACGGGACCATAGGAGGAAGTAAAAGACCAGCAGAAATTAACCAATCACTTCTCACCAACAAATATTATTATTATTGCCATTTTTGTGACTTCACACCTGCCCTCAGTCCACTCACACTGTGTGGCATTTTTATCATTTAGCCTATTTGTTCTTTACTTTGGGTCTTCCTATTTGAGAGCTAGCGACACCATTTATCAAGTCTGTCTAATTCAGAGTTCTTTAAACTCAACTCATTCACATACAGACCAGTTTGAAGGCGTTCTTACCAGGACTTGTGCCTCCGCTGCTGCTTTAGAGTTGATGCTGTCATCATCTGTGCTTCTCGACGGTTTCCCGTCAAACAGCACTTCAGTCTCTGCTTTCCTACATGACACAGAAACGCGTTTATGACAGGTGACAGATCTCACTTCGTTCATTTTAATTTGAATTTTAAAGCACATTTAGTCGCCTCACCTGGCCATCTCTTCCAGTGTCTGGCAGTGCTCACTGATTTTTTGAGAGTCATCAGCGAGCACCTTGCGGCCCGAGATGCAGCGCTGCCTGAAGGCCTGGAGGAGCAGCTCTCTGCGTTGGCTGTCCTCCACCTCAGACCAGGTGCGACCGACGGACTGCTCTGTGTGATAACAACAGCAGGAAAAAACAGGCATAACTTTAAATCCTCCAGCTATTAAAACACACACAATGGCAGCAATGAGATGAAATCTGTATTTAAACCCAAACAAAAGTGTAAGAAATTATTTTGTCTCGCCCAAGTTATTGCTTTGGTCTGTCTTGGGCCAAAAATGGAGATCACTGGCTGCAGCCTGGGCAGCACTGTGGTTCAAACCTCCTCATCAGTCGAACCCCTTTAGTGTGAAGTTTAAATCTTCTCCCTGTGCGGGGTTACTCCAACCACTCTGGCTCGGTATGGTCTGCTAGGGTAATCAACATACCAGCTTTCTAATAATAGTATCTTTAGATATGTCTGGACATCCGAACTTGTCTCTTTGAGTTTGCAAAAGACATTTTTCACACTTTCCTGACATTTTTATCTGATTAATTGAGAAAATAATCCTTAGCTGCAGCCCTAACAATTTCCAAAAAAACATATCCAGCAGACATATTCTCATTTTCTTTTTTCTTCTCAAAGTTAACACCTATTCAAAGTCGTGAAAGCACAAAAATAGACAGTATTTCCCAAATGATGCCGGGCACCACGCTGCACTTGGTGGACTAACCTTGTGTGGCCACCTGCTCCTCTGTTCCACTGATCTGAGAGTCCAGGTGACTGATCTCAGCTCTCAGCTGATCTATCTTCCTCTGAAGCTCTCTGCGCTTTGCAGCCTCACTCTGGCCCTCAGTCTGCTTCACCTGAGTACGCAAAGGTACAAACACAGTTCAGGTGTGCTGAAACTCCACTCAGTGTATCATTAGTGGAAATATTGAAGTGTGATGAATTCTAATTACTCAGAGGGGGGAAAAAAATACCTCTTTGTCTTGAAGCACTTTGTACCTTAGAGAACAGACGGTCAAGGAGATAAATTGTGTATTTATTCGAGTATCGAGATAAATAGTGACCATAGTCACTGGGGAGAGAGAAAGGAGTGACATTCAACAAAGGCTTCCAGTTATGCTGGAACCTTTGTATTGATGCTGATATGCCCCTAAGAAGCATTTCTGCCATTCTTGACAAGCAGTAACAGGGGTGACTGGGTTCCAAAAGGTGGCAGAGACACTGTCCACTGACCAAAATACTGACTGTATAAACACTACTGTGCTATTTCCTGCTTGAGTAATCTCTCACTGAAATGTAGAATTTAACTAAAATGTACATCAAGTTGTTCTGTTGAGACACTGGTGGCTTTAAATTCTCAGTCATGACCAAAAAGGATACCACTGAAGATTCCCACGCATGATCCTCACATTCCTGAAAAAAACAGAGAAACAGTCAAGAAGTCGATATTCATTATTTTATTTTATTTTATTGTACCTCTGCCAACTTTATTGCTGCTGTTTATTTTAGCAATTGATTCATAAGATGTCTACTGTTCCTTAATTTGAGCAGACAAATACGTGACTGTGTGACTGGTAGGACATAGAAGAAACCAGCAGCACCGTGGTGTTCAAGTGTAAGTGAAAGCAGCATTAGACGACTACAACAGCTGTTTGTAGCAACAGCCAGCTGTGCGTTTAAAGACATCACACAGAGCAAAAGACAGGTTGTGTCTTTAGTTGACGAAGGCAAACACAGACCACAAAATGCTAGCAGGAGCTGTTTAGTTTAGTTTGTTGCTTTCAGATGTTTTCGTTTATTAAAAACCTGCAGCATCAGGACGAATGTGAGCATCGCTAAAGTTATGCACCAACAGAGCACTAACTTTATGAATTACTCATTGTTAAAAATGATCCCTAATATAGACACAGGATCGACCAGGATTTTTAATTTTCTTAAGACAGGTGAGTTGTCACAGTTTTTCAGCTGCAAGTAAATCAGTCCTGTATTCTGAGCTCCTTCACAGCTGGACATTATAGTGCAGTAAAAGTCAAATATCGTTTGTTTTTTCCTTTTTTCACAGCCGGATATTTGGCAGTAGTGACATTATTGTGTAAAAGGACACATTACAGAATGGGATTTCTTTCAAAATACAGCAACAGGTGGCCAGGTAGTGATGAAATATCATTTTATTAAACCATAATTGATTATAAATAGATACATTATCATCACACACAAACAAATTCATCAATACTGAAATCATAAATAAACTGTGTGTTTTGCCTTCAGGTGAATTTTACCCTTAAATACTCCACAGCATCTCTTCTTATGGAATATTTCCATCATTGATCACCCAAATAACCAAACCTGTCTATACACATATGATAAGAAGTCATTTTCACAGTAAAATTAAAAAATAAAGTATGTGAAAATGTGATTTCTTAACTCTGAATTCCTGTTTTGGCTTCTGGTTTCATGTGTAGAAGATTTTTCACGGCTCCTGTGTTTAGTTTCTGGCATGATTAGTAGAAATGAGCAGTGTTTTAGCCATAAGTTAGTGATGAACACTTGGTATATCAACAAGACTGACCTCTGCTGAAACACGTGCTGGATGACATATTTCCATATTGACTTCCCGGTTCCAACACAGAGCCTGGAACACAAACAAGCAGCATTGGTGCAACAGACTGCAAACTAGGCTAACAACAGCCAGCTAGCCCTTTAGCTAATAACACTGTTAGCATGGAAGCTAACTTTATATACCCACGTTTTACAGTAGCTGTCATTAGGCAGGCTGTCCGGGGGCAGATTAAACTCTTCTGTCGCCCAACGTTTCAGCTCCTGCACCAGATTCCTGTCCGCCATTCTGACAAACAACAACAACAACAACAACTTGTAGCGAGCTAACTAAAGCTAACAACAGGCTAATGTTGCTCTGCTAGCATGAAGCCGTTAGCCGCATTTAGCTGATTATTGTCCTTCAACTTGCTCTGCTCTTGAAAGAAAAAGCGTCTTTGTTTGTTATAAACGGAGCTTAAAATGGTGACGGCGATATTCTCTGACCCACAACAGTCAAACTTTCAAGTTCCCGCCTGTTCGCAGCTACTTCCGCTCAGTCTTCTGTTGATTAGCGCCGCCGCTGGCTGCAGCTGCTTGTTGCCATGGAAACAGACAGACGTGGGTTTTATCAATGGATGTGTTTTTTCGGGGATTTTTGGTGGAAAAAAAACCTTTAAAGTGAATCCTTAGACTAATATCTTGTGGGGAATTAAACCTTTAAAACTACAAAGTGCATAAAATGCTAATATTAGTTCAAATATGTATAGTTTTTAAGAAGCATCACAGTCAAACTACTACTTCCGGTCCAAAGTGTTTATATTTTTAAAGGTGTCCCATCCAAAGTCGCCCGTTCTGTCTGAATACCTTCAGTTTTAAATGTGAATTTCACCCAGAATACTACATTCTGTGCAAATATTTATAGTTTTAAAGGCTGATTCCATCCAAAATATAATTTTTTCTTCAAGTATTTGTGGTTGTATTGTCTTATTTCACCCAAAATACTATTTTCTGTCTAAATATTCATAGTTGTAAAGGTTACAAACACCATGTCTATGCAAGTATTTTTAGTTGCAAAGGTTCTATCAATCTAAAATAAACATTTCTGTTCAAGTACCTATTGTTTTAAAGTTTTTTTTCAACCAGAATAGTTCTTTCTGTCCAAGTATTTATAGTTTTAAAGGCTTATTCCAGTTAGATTACTACATACTGTCCAAGTATTAATAGATTTTTTTGTTTCATTCCATCCAAAATACTACCTTGTCTAAAATCTTTATAGTTTTACAAGTTTATTCCATCAAAAATACTATTTCTATGCCAGTATTTCTCGTGTTAAAGGCTTATTTCACCTATAATACTACAAATCGTGCAAGTATTTGTAGATTTTTTTCATTTCATTTTACCCAAAATACTACTCTATGTCCAAGCACAGAGTTTATTCCACGCAAACACTTTCTGGATGACAAATTATGTGTTTAAAGGTTTTACCCTTTGGTGTAAACAAATGTCTGTGAGGCCAAAAAAAGATTAAATGTTAAACAAGGGTCTTAGAAATGTGGCCCTGAAAATGCATTGTATCAGAATCAGTTGTATCAGAGAGGCCAGTGAGGTAAATCACTATACAGGTAACAACATATGAATGAATTTTTATAAATCATACTCAAACACAAAGTTTCTAAATTTGATGTCAGACCATTAAATAGAAACAGTGCAGAATATATAATGTAAAAAACTGAATAAACACAAAGCTGGTCTTCAGCTCCTCCATCTTTTATTTCTTCTTTTACTGCAAAGAATCAACGATGTAGTAAATGTCTGAATGCACAGCATTAGACTTCTTGTACACAGACGCTGACCAGCATTATTTCAGCCAGACTTCACCCAAAGTCTTCCAACAATCACAGCAGCAGCAGCAGCAGCAGCAGTCATGGTGATGGTGTTTAGTTGTTCTGTTTTAGTCAGAGTAAGACATGGCCTTTTCCTCCAGAGGAGTTAATACTGAGACTCTGAACGTTCCAATGTAGAACAAGTGTGTCAAATAAATTATACCTGAGATAAACAAAAACTAAAAAAAATAACAATGCTCCGTCCACGTTTCAGCGTCCACAAAAATGAACATCACAATGTTCTTTAAGGCTTGTGATTTAGCTGTGAGTACAAAACAAAAGGAGATCAACCCACTTTTTAAAAAAAAAGTAAACAAAAGACATTCATCATAATGACCGTGTTTAAGTCACAGAGAATTTCTCCCCCCAAAAAAAAGAAAGTGCACATTTGAGAAACACGTCCTCTGATTGTACCGTCTGTCTTTAGCACCGTGTTGAGCAGTTATCCAGTGATGGCACCAGGATGCACTCCAACTCCAGTTTTTATTTTCTATTAAAGTTATCGTATCCTGGTGAAGAGGTTTAAAACCGAGACAGATTCCTGAAACAAGAGACGAAGAAACTCGGTTAGCTAATTTGCAGGTGTTACTGTAACTGCATCATAAACTGTGTTCTCTCACCTTTGTTGACCGTGTTTTACTGAATACGTTCCAGAACCGCAGAGTCTCGTCTCCGGCTCCCGTGACAATCGCTTCACCATCCGGAGACATGGCCTGATTCATAACATTAAAAACTGTGAGCCTGTGAGACGTTCAGCTTTTACAACAAAACAACCAACACCCAGATCATATTAGCATCAAGAAAGACAGCACACACTGACCAGGTAGAGCACCCTGTACGAGTGTCCCGTGAGCTTGACCATCTGAGTCAGAGCCGGATATTTCCACACCAAGATCTGGTTCTGAGAGTATCCGTGGGTGCTCACCTGGGGAAGAAAAAAAAGAGGATTATTATCTGCTTGTTGCTGCTTCAAACTACAGTGGATTGACGCTTAGGAAACGGTGGTATTGGTGAATTAGTGCAATCAAAAGATGGAGATGAAGCGAGAAATCAAGCTTTGGAAATAATTACAGGACCACATGTTGTTTTCTTTTACAAACTCCACACAACAGGCCTTCATCAGAGATAACTTGGCTGGAATTTTATCATCGTGGTCGAATAATTACAGCATCTTCTACAAGAGACGAAAAAAAGCGTATGATAATTCGGCACGTGAGGTAAATTATGTTTAAAAATATGACGCATTGAAACTGCAAAAATGTCCAAATTCCCATTTTATGGCCCATTAGGGAATATTATTTGGTGCACAAGCTGTAAATGTTTATCAGTCAACAACGACTAAAAGAGAAGAATTGAGATGACAAACATCTTAAACAAAGAGGGATTCGGTGGGAGAGTCATCGCAAACTGACTTGGAATCAGTAAAGCAGCATTCATTACAACCTGAAGAAGAAAAAACAGTAAGGCTTCACCAAGAACTGACAAGGAAGAGGCAGAAAACATCGCTCAAAGGGGTTAAGAATTATTTCTAAAGCTGTAAATTAGGTACGTATGTAAAAGAATAAATGGCCAGTTGCACATGTGCAGTATGTAGCATCTTATTCTCTGTGCGTCTGGAGTCACTCACCAGCTCATTGGCGTGTTTGGACCAGGCCAGGTTGCACACCTGAGAGCCGGTGTCCATGCACTGCAGCGGCTGCGACGTCAGCGTGTTCCAGAAGCGAATGCAGCGATCCGCCGTGCCGCCGCCGGAGGCCAGCAGGCCGTGCTGGTGAGGCGACCAGGCGATGGCTTTGACCGCAGCCAGGTGGTCCGTGTACGTCTGCACGGGGCTCAGCGACGAGTGGTTCCACACCAGCAGCTGAGAGCACGAGACCGTGACATCATCAATGAGTGCAAGGAGTGAATACACAAAAATCCCTGTCCTCCCTCCAGCAGCTTTCTGTCCAGTTTAGGAACACATTGAAGATTTTGTTGTTTATTTTTAGGGTGTTAAATGGGTTGGCGCTACCTTACATTTACTTTTGAGCTCCTGCATAAGATTCCTGTCCGCCATCCTGACACACAACAACTTGTGTGAGCTAACTGAAGCTAATTACAGGTTAATACTGCTCAGCTAGCATGGAGCCATTAGTCACATTTAGCTGATTATTGTCCTTACACTTAGTTTGCTCTTAAGAAACAAGCGTCTTTTGCTTTAATGAACTAAGGCTACGGTGGAAACAGCAATATTCTCTGACCTGAAACAGTCAAACTTTCAAGTTGCGTTCAATGTTCTAGTTAGCACCACCGCTGGTCGCAGCTTCTTGTTGCCATGGATACAGACGGATGTGGTTTTATCAATGGATGTGTTCTTGTTTTTTTTGGTGGAATAAATCTTTAAACTATCAGTACTTAGACTGATAGTAGTGGAATAAATCAATAAAACTAACTAAATACATAAAATACTACTATCAGTCCATGTAGTTATAGCATTAATGGAGCATTACAGCCAAAATACTACTTTCTGTCTGAATATAGTTTTAAATATGAGTTTCATCTGCTTTCTGTGTAAGTATTCACAGTGTTAAAGGTGTATTCCATCCAAAATACAAATTTATATACAAGTACTTATGGTTTTGTTGTTTCATTCGACACAAAATACTACTTCCAGTCCAAGTATTCACAGTTTTAAAGGTTATTCCATCCAAATTACTCATCTGTTATTTACTTGCTTACTTACTCATTACTAGTTATTACTGGTCTGTCCATTACTGTCCTCCCTCCACTGGCTTTCTGTTTGTTCTAGGAATAATTTTAAGATTCTATTATTTGTTTTTAAGGTTCTAACTGGTTGGCGCTACCGTACATTTAGCAGAACTCCTACACCTTGACGATCATGACAGTAAGCATGCTTTGTCTGTACACGCCCGCAGACAGAGGTGCGTTTAATGACTCCACCTTGTTGTCGTTGCCTCCGGAAGCGAGCAGCTGATGGTCCGTGCTCCACTTCAAGCCGCACACTTCCTGTCTGTGGCCCTGCAACCGTCGCTCCGACTGCAGCGGAGGCGTCCGAATGTCCCTTTGGAGGATCATGCGATCGCGGCTTCCCGAAGACAGCTGGTCTGCGTTCCAAGCTAACGCTCCTGTACGCGGGACAAACCTCGATTCAGGCACACTCTCAAAACTCCACCAACATGCAAACTGAACCCCTAAAAACTCATCAACGAATCAAAAGTTAGTATTTTTCATGAAGCTAATCTCTTCCTAACTTAAAATGTCCTGGATGTAATTCTATATATATTTTTTTTTAGCCCTGCCTCTCTCCCCACTCACTGCAGCTCGAGCACACCGGCTCACCTACGACTCTGCTGGAACGCTGTAAACCTATCCTACACCACACAAGTTGTAACATCAGAGAAATTCGATTAATTAAGTAAAGCATTACTTCACCTGACTATAATCCATATTTAGGCAGAGACCTTACGGTTTCATTAAATATGTAGAATAACCTCACTAGTGTAACAATACAGCTCAGACCTTACGATATAAATTATTAGAAATATAAGTAATTGTACGAGATGAAACGCTGCAGCTCTCACCGACTCTGGCTGTGTGTCCTTCTAAGGCAAAGAGTTTTTTTCCAGCACCAGCATCCCAGATCTGAACATATCCTTCGTGAGTCCCGACCGCCACCAGGTTCCCCTAAAAGCACAAAGCATCCTCTTACTGATGAAACCCCCAAAAAACAGTTTTCTGACAGCAGTGAGTCGCGTGTTGCTCACCCGTTCAGACCATCCGACTGACGTAACTGAGTCTCCCTCCACCGATAAATCACACAACCGTGTTACCTGAGGAAACAAAATCCAGCCGTTTGTGAGTCACTGTATGATCCAGCATTACCTGCCAAGACTCACTCTGCAGTACCTGGCTGGTGCAGGCGCTCCACAGGTAAACACACGTGCCCAAACCGACGCTGAGCACATTAAGAGACGACCAGTCCACCAGGTTGAGGTAGAAGTCGTCCTGCAGCTCCGGAGCATCCAGGACTTTGAAGGGGATCTTGGAGATCTTGCGAGTCGGCTTCCTTGGAGAACGCAACAACTTCTGACTGCAACAGGAAATGCAGAGATTATGAAACTCTAACATGTGCAGCTTCTTTGACTCACAATAAAAAAAAAAAAAAATGAAAAGGTGCGACTACCTTTTGCTGCTAATAGGTGACAGAGAGTAGGGAGAGATGTTGGTGCTGTCATCTGGTGATAAGCGTTTGGTGTTGAGACAATACTGCAAACAACACACACGTATGTGTCTCTGTTCTGGCAGCGTACCATAAATGTGCTGTATAATTCAGTATATAAGGAGGATGAGATGACGTGTTCATACAGTGAAGAGGCTCCTGTTCTCAGGCGTTGTTGGCTGCAGACGTCTGTCCTCAGTCTGGGGGTCCTGGACCTTCTCTATCTCTGCTCCCAGCAGCTCATTCTTCAGTAAAGCAGAGTAGGCCACCCGGTCTGCTACGGGCACAACACGACGACTCCGTTAATAAGGCAGTACAGACGGCTATAAAAGCACAGTTCTAGGAGCATGTAGGCAAATAACAGAATGCCCGAGATAACATAGAAGAACGTTATTTACCTTTGATGTTGTCAGAAGACGTATCTTTTGTTTTTCTGTTCTGACTCGGTGACTTCTTGTTTTCCTGGATTTAAATAAATCATAAACATGCTCTTATTTCCCACAGAACATTTATACTCAAACACCGTGTAACATTTGGAATTTTAAACAACTTTGGAATACACACACAGTACTAATCAGATAAGTATAGAATGATATAGTATAAAGTATAATACTATAATAAACTATACTATACTATACAGTATAGTATGGTATGGTATGGTATTGTATAGTACAGCATAGTATAGTATTTTATAGTACAGTACAGTACAGTACAGTATAGCATAGACTACTGTATAGTATAGTATAGTATAGTATAGTATAGTATAGTATAGTATAGTATAGTATAGTGGACTATTGAACATCATAGTATGGAAAGCAAATAAAATATTTAAGGTTTTTTTATTTTATTTTTTATTACCATGTTTTACATTGTAGATGAATACTAACGGCTGTTTCATATTTGAGATTCCTCCAAGTGTTTGCTTTAGTGACAGCTCTGCACACATGTTCTGGCATAATTCTGGAACATTTCCAGAAAATACTACAGGTTGGAAATGCTTCAACCTGCAGCATCCACCAGTAACGTGGTTATTGTGGCTCTCTGGGTCAGTCTAATCTTCTGTCGTAGAGATTCTGGGAAACGAAGAGTCACACATGGCAGCAATTATCAGGCCAACAAGCACAAGCTGCCTCCTGAAAAAAAGCTTGTTTTTGAGTCTGACTGAAAGCAAACACAGAAATAAGCCACCTGGAACCGAAAATTTCAGAAATCTGAGCAACTTGCCGACTGACAAACTCTCCCTGCATATTCATCTGCACACACAGCAGACAACAAGCCAAGCACACAGCCGTCCTACGTACAGGCTCTCTGACCAAAAACAAGAGGGATGGAGGTCTGCATCAGAGGAGCGGGACTCCAACATCACCAGATCCGAACCCAACTGAGATGCTTTGGGATGATTGAAGAAGGAAAAGCAGCCAAACAAGTGCTCAGCATATGTGTGAACTGATTTAAGACTGAAGCTGGATGAGAGAACGAGGAGTGTGGAAAGCAGAACGAGGAAGCTGCTTTGAAGAATCTCAAATTTGAAACATATTTTTGTCTTGTTTTTTTTCCCACTATCTACTTCCATATGTGCTGTTTGATAGTTTTAATGCCTTTAGTTTTGTTCTACTATGTAGGAAATGGTAAAAAACAAAAAACAAATTCCCCTCAACAACAAGCTCTTACCTTGATCCTGTGGAAGCTGATATCCCAGTTGGCTCCCGCTCTGCTGGGAATAAATCGGTCTCCAAGCTTGCTGGGTGAGGACAAGGGTGAGCTGGTGGGTGTCCGACCACGCTGACTCTGGGACAGCTTCTGCAACACCAACAAATTATTGGTTCATGCAATCTTAATCAGTTCACTTGTATCCTAACTGGAATATATCACATGTTCAGTGTTGATGTTAACATCTGTATCACTAAGGAGTCTTGAGTGAACAAACATACAGAAACACAAGCTCAGCAAGTCAGATTTTTTTCAGATTCTGAGGAAAAAGTAAACAACAAAGTATGCTGGAAATGATAACAAAAAGCTGGAGAGTAATGCCTCAAAAGCCTTTTTCTGCACAACTGGCCAAACTGAATTCTCTTCTCAACAACATAAATAAGACTGAGAACGCCATTTAAATGCTGTGTTTACATTTTTGTAATGAATGACTCACAACAGGGCTCAAGTTGTCACTTTCAATGTTGATTTGCTGCAGAAGGCGATGCTCGTATCCGGGATCCATCCTCAACCCTGATCCCACTGCGGCACGCTGCAAGGACAAAACAGTTAAGTTTAAATGTTCAACAGATTATCAGCTTGCCTTTACACATGCTGCTGATGAGCTGCTTATAAAAACAAAGATCTCAACCCGTCACTTTTCTTTAAAGTTTTAGAGAAAGTTGTTGTCAACCTTCCTGGATAACTGTGTCTGGTTTTAAACCTCACCACAGTACAGGATCAGAACTATTGTGGATTTTAATGACTTTGTTTTAACTGTTGATTCAGGAGATTTCACTACTCTGGTGCCTCCGGGCCTGACTGCTGCGGATCACAGTTTACTTTTATCCTCAAAAGACTGTGTAGCATCTTCATAATTCTGTTTAAAACCTGAAAAAACAGGAAGTTAGATTTGTAATTATCGCTGAGTCTGTACGGCATGTTGTTGGTATAAACATCAGATCACAGGTTATTTAAAAGCAGCACTTTAACAGTAACTTGACTGATCATTCTTACTCATATAATAATCAAAACAACTTGTCATTTATTCATAAAAATGTTAAAATTAAAGTTGAAGTAAAACTTGTGCTGGAATTAGAGGAACACCTAATTAATTCAGCTTCATGACAGCAAACTTTAAACCAATTTAAATCATCTATTGACACTTCAGGAGCTTAGTTCGTGGTTAAATGTCATCACAGTGGTTTCTCTGTTTGTATTTAAAACTAACAGGCAGCTAATGTTAACTAGCGTTAGCAGAGTTAGCTTCAGGCTAATCTGATCAATATTTAACCGGACAACGTACCGACGAGCAGCCAGAGCCCGGAGCCGGTACACACGGCAGAACAGCACGAAGTTCGGGTGAATCTGTCCGATATGTGTAAAGTTATTCACTCTCTAAACCAGCTGCTTGTTGTAATTCAGTTTGGCTGAGTTGTAAGTCGCGGTGCATTTTGGGATTTTTTTTGCGTCATCCCGGTGACGTAACGCGTCAAATCAAAACACGGAAGTGCTGCGCTAGTAGCCAACATGTGGGAGCTTTGAGTTAGCTGCCATTAGAAGCGGTTCATATGCAGTTCTGCTGAGTGAGGGCTGAAGTTCTGATAAATACACAACTTCTTTAACATCCATCAGACTTTCTTTTACGATATAAAAATATATGTTGCAGTTAAATACTTATTTATTGGCCCCATAGATATCTATAATAAAGGCCTTTATTATATGTATCTATGATTGGCCTCATAATAAACTGAAGGAACACGAAGAAAAAAATCTAGAAAGTGACAAAAAATAAATAAATAAATACTGGCAATACTCTATAGTTAAAAACACAATATCTTCTGCTTTCTACTTTTTAAATATTTTTCTTTAATATATATATATATATATATGTGTGTGTGTGTGTGTGTGTGTGTGTGTGTATGAAATAAATTGACTTAAAAATAATTTTACAATTCTACAATTTCATTTAGCAGATTAGCAGATGCTTTTGTCCAAAGTGAAATACATCTGAGTGAAGATACAACAGAGCTATGATCGAGTCAAAAATAAATTAATAGTGTACCAAAGATTAAAACTAACACTTCGACTGTTTTATCTACAGAATTAAAACTGCATTGTTACACGAATCCATTAAAAAAGACTGGACTTGGTACTGTAATTTAAAAATGAAATTTTCTGTTAATTGAATCAAACAAATTAAAAATGGTAATAATGAATAAAAAATGATTTATTACCTTCTATATCTTTCACAGTCTTTTGAAAGAACTAAAAATAAATTGGAAATGTTCTTAAACTCTCCCTGAGCATCACAAATAAACAGAAATAAACACATGACAACAATTACATCAGTTGATAATGCAGTTTGAAAATGTAAATAATCATAAGTACACCTGTGAATTACACACAATGAACAATTTATTTTAAAATACACATTCATACAGTCATGTTAATGCACAGATATTTCTTAGGATGTGCATGAGTAGTGTTTTTAAAAACACTTAAATATAAAGTAAGTGAATGTACTGCATGTAATTGTGCCAGTTCATTGTCATGTGCAGGTTTTAAACATAGAGGGCGCCATAGATCTACTCTAAGCTCACTACACCCAGCTGAGGGGCAGCATGAAGCCTTGTAGTCATAGACTGGATTGTTGCAGCTTGAACTTCATTTCCTAAAGTCTTGAATCAGCTCAGGTACGCATATTTCCAGTTTAACCTATTTTAACCCTAAACTTGCCTGAAACCACTCAGAGCTCAGTGTGGATGCAGGACACCAGTAACAGTTAGAGACCGAGCAATGCTGGGTCTTTAAATAAACTTTGAGAACAACACTGTCTGCTCAGCTGTGATAAATACTCTGCTACATGTGCTGCAGACAGTGTTGACGCTGTTTATAAATCACCCTCCTTTGTCTTTATTATTCTCTGTTTTCATATATATCAGGTGACAAATATGCAGATATGGATGTACTAGTGTATCTGTGACAGGTCAGCATCCACCGATAGTGTCAGTCAATCAATGTTTTAA